TCGGGCATTCAATATCGTAGTGCAAATTATAGTAACACCTGGGCCTTTTTTTTTTTTTTATATTTTTTTATATTTTTGGGGGGTTGGGTTGGATTTGCTCGGAACTGTATTATGCAGGCGCAAGTATATATACTATATATATAAATTGGCATAAGCAAAATACTGTTTTATCATCCTGAAATGTTATTATCTGAGGGTGAAGTCCGTGGTATGGTTTATTTTGAGAGAACAATACAATAACTAATTCACTGTGTCGACTTTAAATCGCTTCTATTCTAACTATGCAACCATAACGTATAAAGTATAGGTGTTATTGACGTTCTCTGCTGTTTGTAAAAACAAATCCTGTTTGCCTCGGACAATAGACATGATCAATAATAACAAACATATAGGGTAATAGCAACAAATGGTTAACCCGTTGTTGGTATAATGTGACCGGGTGGAATGCTGTGCTGGGTGCCTTCGTCATGGTATTTCAGTGAGGTAGCGCTATAAAGTCGGCATCAGATCCGCGTTTTCACAATGAGGCATTTACACATACATAGCATGCCTCCAGCACACGTTCCCATATACACACAGATACAACATACATGGAGTTATGTCCTTAAATGACCTGAGCTGTTTATACTGTCGTAATGTTAAGCATAGTACAGATATCAATGTAATGCAGAGTGGGAAATTAGTGTACAGGTCGATTGAACTGATTCGTTTGTACATAAGTGTCAAATGTGAATGAAGTGTTGAAGTTAACAGTAATTTGGTATTCGAGTGGGGTAACCAACACACATTTTCTATTCTATGAATATATATATTATTTTTCAATTATTTAAAAAACATATACATTATGAATGTAAAAAATCTTTTACTTGATAATTCCTTGCACGGTTGGAGTTCAACCTAGCTTAATATCGACTAGAAAGTAAACATTTAAACTACACTATAACAAAATAATACCCTTCCTATATTTGTGTGTGGCGTGTTTTGTAAAGGCGTGGCTTTTTTTAAAATCTGAAAACTATGATCTGATCTTTTCGATAGTAACGCCATTTTTCAATATCTAATAAGCATCCCAAAAATTACCAGAACAGGAGGGTTTATCGCTGACACGTTTGATAACTCAATTATAATTTGCTTAATTCTTCTTTCGCTGTATCTAGTAAACAAGTTGATACCTCTGAGTTTGAACCTCTTTGTTTTAGATTACAATTATGCCGTCCTCTTCATCCAACGAGAAGCTTTTCTGGGCGGACCGGAAGAACCGGATGGAGAAAAGTCGTTTAGATCTCATACTCAAAAACATGGAAAAGGAACAAATGTACCTAACACATGATATAGACCGTGAAAAAAGAGCCGTTGTCAAGAATTTTACATTGGTGCGTCGAACTTCTGGTGTGAGCGATCAGGGGGTTCCGCCGCGTAACGAAAAGGACACCGATTATCAAAGTGCGCCGAATTACAGGATGGGGCTCCGATTGAGTGAGCGGCGTCTGTTAGAATGGCGCGAAAATGAAAAACAGGTAGAAAAGTTCATGCACCAGTCAGCATGGGAAATGGCTAAAGTCAGTGGAAAATATCGACGTCATTCTTCTCCAGAAGGTATTAGACTTCCCAAAAGAGCACAAAGTGCAAAAAGTTACAACCGATCAACATCATCAGTTGGAGGTTACACAGAGGTCAAAGTCCTTGATGACGACGTATTCACAAACGGTACCGGATTTCCTACAACTTTAACACATCAATCCGACAGTGTGGTTGACCTCAATCCCAAGGAACTAGAAAAACAAATCTTTCAAGACTATAAAGAGTCTATCCACAAAACGCGCATACCATCTACCTCGGACGTATTAAAACTGAAGAAGACGCGACAGGTACGATCTGACAGTGATCTGGGCAGAGACGAAGAGAAACGATTACGGTTTAGGCCGCATACAGCTTCAGTTACGTCGCATACTAAGAGAAAGTCATTGCGGGGATTTCCTGCAAGACCTGCGACTGCCTGGTCTAAAATACAGGATAACGAAAAGAAGGGAAACCTAGTTAAGAATTGTTTCGAAAGAGATGATATTGAGGACAATACTAGAGAAATACTCGTAGATTACTTTATGACAAAACCTTCGGCTGATCAGGAACATTTATCGGACGCTAGCGCATCGACAGTTTCCGAGGAAACAGCTGGAGGAAGGCAAACCGACGAGATATCTGAATGCGGAAGTGACTTTGGAAGCTCTGTTTCGAATCCTAGTCCAAGAACTATATCAGATCGGATGAGAGCTCTAATGCCAGAAGTAGAAGATAAGTTAAAAGAAACCTATATAAATTCGTCCATAACTATCATCTATGGCGAAGGAGATGAGTCGAATAATAATAATGAGGATGTGTCAGAAAATCACGTCGATGATGTCCTACAGGGAACGGATGTTAGCGATAGAGAAACTTGGATGGAACTCCAGGGCAGTACAGAATTGGAAACTATTAAAAATAACGTTGAAGATGAACCAGATTCAATCTCGAATCAAAAACCAAACCGCTTCGATACAGAGGGGGATCAATATGTGACACCGCTGAATGGAATTATGAAAACTGACAATAGTTCTAAACTAGATTTTGCAAGTAGTCATCCAAAACTAGATGACCAATTGCCTATACAAGCTGACCTTGGTGACATGGTGGACGGTCGATATCCCAGGTCACGACGAAAGGTAAATCGTGTCCTGACAGGAATCGCAGAGGACAAGGTACTTACCATAGTTGATGGAACTTCTCAGGAAGGTAACGATGCAAATCGTAGTCATGGTGATGACATGTTCTCTACAACATCACCTAGTTCCTCGTCGCGTCTGACGTCACGACAACGACGGACAAGCACTACCAGCACCCTGACTCAGTCAGATCGTCTGTCTGGTATGTACAGTAGTATGAGTGACATTTATTCTATCGGGTCGGACGGACAAAGACGTCCGAGTAAATGGCGTCAGTACGTGGCGGCGGATACTGCACCTGTGCCACAGAAAAAAATTGTGACTGTTACAGCTGTTGTTCGAGCTGCGCTTGCATTCTCGAAAATGGCACGAAAACGCGCGCTCAACAAACTTGTGGAGGAACAAAGCACAGATCCTGTAGAACTGATCCGACAAGAACGACTGCGCCGTTTGCATTCAAGGAACAACATACTGCAAACAATTACAAACTCTTGGTCTTTGAACGGGGACAACAGTATCCCCGAGCTACAAGAACAAGTTTGAGATGTACTGGTTGAGAATAATGTACTCAGACCATGTTCTGTCTTCAATAACGCAATACCGATTGTTTCTCCATAACGGAGTAAAAAACCCCAAAAAACCCAGACATTATACAGTTATATCGTTTGTACAGAAAAGCCTAAATGAATTCGATTTAGCTTACTTTACAGTGAAGTGTTGGTGACCAGTAACATCAGACCAGTGACTTCATTTTTGTGTGAATAGTTAATACCACCTTCTTGTTCGAACGTCGATACTGTCTCTCGTGTTGGGGATTCGCTGCATGAATGCGTGCAGAAGATACAATCGGTCACACTGAGAATTGGGGAGGATATTCGAAGGACATCTGTGTTGATTGCATGAAATCACATTTGGATCAACTAGTCTTGTGTATTTTGTTAAGACAATCATGATCAAAACCATTCATACATTTTTACATTGATATAGACGTGGTGTTAATGTCGCAATGTTGTCGATGTATTATGTACTAATGTGTTACACTGAATAGCAATATGCCATATCATTAAATATCATTTGAAAAAGAGTCCTTTTTTCCGGTATATTGTATTTAGGCAGCGATATATATCAACATGTTATTCACTTAGCAAATTGTAATTTATGTCGAGTTTGTAAAGGGATTTCTGAAAGCGCATGATGTTGTGAAGGGGTTTGACTAACTCTTTGATATCGATTCTATCCCACCTACACGTTTTGTTTGTGTTTAAAACTAGTTAACGGTTGTCATATAAAATACACACATGTTGGTGATGAACTACATTAACAGATGTGTTGCCGTTCAAAAGTTATTGATCTTGCAAAATAAAGAGAAAATAGCTGCAGAGCAAAACGTGAACTGTACTGCATAAACAATTGCGTTGAAAATACTGAACGTATAAATATTAAATGTGTTTATGTCCTTACTTTAGGTTCTTCTTGTAAACGCTTTTATCAATCTAATCAATTTAAGTACCATTTAATGTTTAGACATGTTTGATGAATAAATTCTTAGTTACAGAGTCACTAATTATGTACTTCAGCCGAACAGTTTTCCTGGTAAATTTATTTGATTTATAGGTACATGAAAGGCAGATAAAGGCAGTTTACCTGGTCATATTGACCTCGTACGTACTCTGTCAGGGTCAATATTTTATTGCTAAGTATAAATACAATACCCCACACTTCATTCCTAAGATGAAGTACCGTTTGTCGATGTCTGTAGTGACGAATGTGTATTACTTGTACACACCCCTGTATACAGATGTGTTAGCCTAGTAAACCCCAAATATCAATACACTTTGATATTGATCTCCACGGGCCAATATTAGCGCCAAATGTCCGTTCGTTTTGTCAATATATTTGTTTAAGTTCTTAACCCTGAGATAAGCTTTACTTAATATTTAGTTATTTTCCTGATCAATTCAAGCACTCTCCTACTCATGTCCACAAAGTGACGTGTCACATAAACGCTGCTGATGATATATACAGACAAACAGTTTAAATGTATTTTATTTCTCTACACAAACAACGAGATGGTCTGGTGACGCTTAAATACCATTGTGACTGACAACTCAAAGAAGGCGAGATGTCTCAAGAATTGAACAAACATGTATCTGTTTGCATTTTGTAGTAAAACATGTCTTTTTCAGATGAAGTTGTTCCAATTCTGAAAAACGGTCAATTGTGTAACTCACAAGAGACTCGTCTTAAGTACTTAATGACGCGTATTCTGCGGTGTTTAGTGTTTCATCTACTATAAAAAGGTGGTGACATACCCGAAAGAAAGAGCCTGAGACGAAGCAGGCTTTGGTGACAAAATAGTTTGCGAAAGCTTTGGCTAAACGTCCATTTCATAGAAAGTGTTCTTCTCAATTCAAAGAATAGAACAGTGGAATAAACACTGAAAAAGAAAGCAATAGGGAACAGTCACACCATACAATGGATAATATAAATGACGACAAAACTGGAAATATGTTTATATGCTTAATTTTCCTTTACGCCAAAAACATGTTTTTCTTTTCATAAAAAAGCGGGGATTAATCAAAACTCAAAAAGGAGAATAGTTTTGATGCTATACTAATGTTTAAGTATAATTTTAATTGAAAGTTTATACTTTTTCAATAAATGGTACATTTTTTTTTTTTTTTTTT